ATTGTAGTGCGTATTGTTGTCTGTGTCCGTTGTTTCAAGTGTGGTTGATTGTACTGTGTAGTACATTGTCTGTTTGGTGACGTATTGTATGTAACTATTGTGGAGTGTGCATACGTGTGTATTGTTTTTGATCTGCCGTTAATGAGAATATAATTTTGTTTGTTTATCAACTCTCGGCTCTGTCTTGTTCTCTGGGCCACAGCCGGCGTCCGCTGGCGCACCAATAAGGACCACTTCTAAATTGTCCACGCTTTCGTGGTGCGGTTCGGGGGGCCGATACTTCGGCTCTTGGAATTAGCCCGGCGATCGCCTCCCTAATAAACGGGACAGGTGTGACAATTAATCTGGCGTCCGCGATACAGGACCTTTTGGTGCACAGTGTGTCCAAAGTAGTGAGAAAGAGCCTCGAGTGTTGATAGTGCTATCGGAACGATTTTGTGTGTTGTTCAGTGTTCTCGTTGACGAGTGCAGTGGAGTGTTCCGATAGACTGAGTGAGGCAGATACTTTTTGCACGCGGCAAGGTTTTATTTGCGAGACACAATGGATCTCGAAAAGTTAGTTGCTCTTGGTGAAAAGATGGGTCTTTCTGGCGCCGAACTACGGAAGTGGGTCACCCAGAAGGAAAAAGAAGAAAAAGAGAGAGCCAAAGAAGAAAAAGCAGCCGAGCTGGAAAGAGAGAGGTTGGAGTTAGAGAGAGAAAAGCTTGCAGCTGAAAGGGCGAAAGAAGAAAGAGAGCAGCAATTGAAGTTGGAGCTGGAGAGAGAAAAGTTGGCAGCCGAAAGGGCGAGAGAAGAAAGAGAAGCGGAGATGGCTGAAAGGGAACGGCAGCGGCAGCACGAGATGGAACTCGAGCGGCTCCGTTTGCAACAGCGAAGCGAAGCTCCCGTCCAAGCTAGAGTTGAAAGCAGCGAACGGGAAGATCACGGCTTCCGCTTGAACCCAAGCAAGCTGCTCGTAGCGTTTGATGAAAGGAAGGACGACCTAGACGCGTACCTCCACAGATTCGAGACGATTGCGAAAAGCCAGAATTGGCCGAAACATCAATGGGCAACTGCTTTGAGTACTTGCTTGAGTGGTGAAGCGCTCAGTGTGTACGGTAGGCTGACGCCGACCGATGCAGCCAACTACGCAAAGGTGAAAGCTGCTTTGCTGAAGCGATTTAGATTTACTGTGGAAGGATTCCGGGACAGATTTCGGACAGGAAAGCCAGCTGATGGGGAGACGGCTACGCAGTATGCCGCCCGACTTTGCCATTATTTCGACAGATGGATTGAACTTTCAGGGACAGCACAGGAGTACGATGAACTTAGAGAGCTCCTAATTAGAGAACAATTTCTTACTAGTTGCCACCCAAGCCTGTCGCTGTACTTGAAAGAGAGGAAGGCTGAGTCGCTCGAAGGAATGCTTGAATTGGCTGATCAATTCTTGGAAGCGCAAGGCGGCACTAATTTGGCCAAGGTCAAGAAAGAGTGTCCCGACGATTCGAAGAAATTGGCTCCCGAAGAAAAGAAGCGTGCACCAGAGAGCATTCCGCGATGTTTTCTGTGCAACCGAGCGGGTCATCGCGCGAAAAACTGTCGAACGATCTTTACGAGCCCTACGGTTGTAAAATGTTTTAAGTGTGGTCAGACTGGGCACAAAGCAGATGCATGTCGAAACGGAGCGAGTCAAACTCACCAGGTATCCTGTGTGCAAGTGGCACCGAAATCCCATAATAATGCCGTCACCGACGGATTCGTAGAATTGAAAAATGGGGAGAAAATTCCTATTGTGGGTGCTGTAATGTCAAAACAGCCAACCGGTGTTACGAAAGGAATGCCAATGCTGCCTGGAAAAGTTGCGGGCAAAAAGATTACGGTGTTAAGAGACACCGGTAGCTCCACGGTTATCGTTCGGAGAAATTTGGTACGGGAAAGTGAGTTGACAGGCAGAACGAAACCGGTTTGCCTAATTGACCGTACGGTCCGGATGCTTCCCGAAGCAGAAATTGAGGTTGAAACCCCGTACTTCAGCGGGAAGGTTACTGCTTTATGCATGACGACCCCCCTGTATGACCTTGTCATCGGAAACATCGACGGGGCGCGAGGGCCAAGTGATCCAGAATGTTTGGGAGAAGACCCGAAGATAGAGCCCTCACCAACACAGCGGCCGCGAGATACAGTGGAGGAGCATCCCGTGACGGCTCTCACTAGAGCCCAAGTTGAAGCTGCGGCGCAAGAGACAGCGAAGGAGAAGACGATCGTGTCGAATAAGTTCACAGGCCGAGCAACTGGACGTACGTCGGCACGACCTCAACCGACTGACAGTGTAAAGGAGACGGAGTTGGCCAGCCGGGCGAAAAGTAGAGGCATGATCAAGCGGGTAAATAAACAGACAGGACCCGTCGAATGTAATGACGCGTTAACGGTGTCGGAAGAGACAACGATGGCTGAGACGACGCCTCAGATATCGTCGTGGGAAAGGGCTCGCCGAAAAAGAACGTGGAAACACAAGAATAGATCGAGCGAGCACCGCAAAAAGGGGCGCAAGCGCTGTTCGAAGTACTGAAGATAGGTGCTGAGGTGGAATCAGAATGTGTTCGGCAGGGCTGGGTGACATATGTTGTGTTAATGTTCTTGTTATCCTGTGTCTCAAGTGTATGTCGAGTGAGTCAGTGTTCTGTGCGATGGTGTGATGTATAGTGTTGTATAATTATTGGATAGACAGAACTTTGTACGTTTGTATTGTTTAGAATGTGTGATGAAGTGTTGTAGGCATGTACCTGTGGCTATATTTCATGTGTTGTGGAATTGAACTACAATGTACGATTGTATTGAGAGATATATTGTGAATGTGAAGTGTCATGAGCGACGGATTGGGTTACAGTCTGTGAGAGTGTGTGGTGACTGTTCGCGCTCGTTTGTGTGGTTTTGAATATTATGAGATAATATTCTTAAAGTGGGGGGCAGTGTCACAGAACGAGCGCTAAACAAGAGCGCGCCGCCAAATCCCTGCGACAACGGGCGGCAGAAACGCCGCGAGGTAAAAAGAAAAAAAAAAGAGAAAGCCAACATCCAGGGCTCCCGGGCGCGCGCTCTCCCCGCAGAAGCACGGCTTCGCAGACGATCCTCCTCACCCCACAGCGGCGGCCGAGCAAGCCCGCGATTTTTCCAGAACGAAGGGGGCGGGGCCATACCGAGTTGACTCACCGGCCGGAGAGGGCATTCCAACTGTCTCGCCCTCTTCCCAGCTTTCGCCGCGTATCGCGCCGACGAAATGACCAGAAATTTCTGGAAGGTGGCGCGGAAGGTATTTAATCGAGCGGCCGAGACGAGAAATCAGGAGGTGACGGAAGTTAACGCCAGAGCGCGTAGGAATTCCGCCATGGAGCCGGCGAAGGTTCTGCCCGTAGTGACAGAACAGGAGGAGACGGAAGTGAGTGCCAGAGTGCGTAGAGAGTCCGCCGTGTAGTCGGCGAAGTTTTTGGTCCGTAGGGACGGCTCGAGCTACAGGCAAGAGTGTGTGTTTACCGCTATCGAGCGAAGACCCGTGGCAACCGCTGCGAGTGTGAAGCCGACGTGTTCCGGCGAAGAAGTTGAAGTTTGAAGAGTGGCCAATTGAAGACGGGAGGTTTCCTGGGAGAGAACTTCGAGAGCTGCGGAACGACAACAACGCTGGACTTTGAGTGAGTGATTCTCGGAAGAGTATCATTCAGACTTTTGTTCCAAGAACTTTGGACTGAATAGGTTTTATATCTCTTTAGTCTTTAAGTGTCTTGGTTGTTCAATGCATGCGACTGCATTGTAGTGCGTATTGTTGTCTGTGTCCGTTGTTTCAAGTGTGGTTGATTGTACTGTGTAGTACATTGTCTGTTTGGTGACGTATTGTATGTAACTATTGTGGAGTGTGCATACGTGTGTATTGTTTTTGATCTGCCGTTAATGAGAATATAATTTTGTTTGTTTATCAACTCTCGGCTCTGTCTTGTTCTCTGGGCCACAGCCGGCGTCCGCTGGCGCACCAATAAGGACCACTTCTAAATTGTCCACGCTTTCGTGGTGCGGTTCGGGGGGCCGATACTTCGGCTCTTGGAATTAGCCCGGCGATCACCTCCCTAATAAACGGGACAGGTGTGACAGTGTAAATAGTACGCATACTGAAAGCTACAAATTTCCTTCTACTGCCTAAAATACGAAGTTTGGCTAAGAAACGACATAACAATCCTAGATAAAATTACCGATACGTTTAAAGTGCGATCTCTAATGAGTGGGATAGGCAGGATGAACAGTGGAAGTGCCTCAGACAGGCTAGCTGATGTTTCAATAGGAGGACTTATCTTTATCAAAGATAAGTCTTTTGACAAAGATAGGTCCTCCTATCGAAATGTCGGCCAGCCTGTCTGAGGCACTTCCACTGTTCACCCTGATTATCCTACTACGTGTTTTTATCAGTCGGGTCCCATCTTGATTTCCAACTTCTAATGAGCGATCCAAACGTGTGTCAGTATGGGACAATCAACGATCTCAAACAGTGAAGAAGTGCTTAAAAATACCACATTTACACGATTGTAGGTCGACCCATTTTGTCTTAATTTGAAATCCAAAGTTGGGGGTCGACCTAGAATAGAAAACTAGTTTTCGTTGTAAAGTATTTAAATATGATCGCCGCGTATTTCCAAAAAGCTAGCTTTCCTGCGCAGCTTTGAAGCACTGTCATGAAGCCACCTTAGCACAGCAACATGCAACAATTTTTTTTGCAGACATCGTAAATAAATTTTTTTTATGAAATGTGCTCACGCTGTTTTACTTTTTGTCTTTCTTTTGCAGTGCGACATTAGGGGGTCTACCTACATGCAAGCTGACTTATAATCGCGTAAATAAGGTAAGCAAGCACTATTTGATGGAGCATTTGTACAAATTCTCTGTGCGTGTGACAGGCAGTGGTCGTGGGCAGAGATATTTTTTACGAACTTGTAAACGACTGCACAAACATAACATAGCAGGTGATAAGTGCTGCTTACATTGGCCTCCGGGTGTTTCAAGATTTCCTCGCACTTCTGCGCGTCGCCGGTGGCGGCCGCCTTGACCAGTTCCTCGTTCACATCTCCGGAGACATGGCTCTCGAACAGTTTCTTGAGCAACGCGCTCAGGCGCTCTGAACAAAAACAGAAACGAAAAGAAAACATAAATGTGTAGTCTGTTGGAGCTTCCACATGCATGAACACGTGCATCTTAGTATCTTGAACCATTTCGAAATTAGACTGCTAAAGCCCAGTATCAAACCCGCCCTCCTCGCAACCAGTAGCATAATGTCCGTGGCTGCTTAATAGTTAATCAATTACAATAATCAGTTGAATGTAGTTACGCCTTTGCCTTTCCACTTTATTAACACTCCATGGCCTTACTTTACAAACCCCTGCTTGAAGACTGACATAATTTGTGTTAAATAGGGCACTCACCTCCACTGGACACACCGGCAACGGCGCCGTCTGAAGCCATCTTTGTAACGGCGAGAGGGTTGTAGGTCCAGGAGGTACCACACACCTCCACCTTGAGGTCATTGTCATGGTAAATCTGCTGCACTCTGCCTATCTTGCCGAGGGTCTGCGCAGAACAACCGATGAGGAGGCAAACGGGAGGTTGAAAAAAATGTTGGGGGACCTTTAAACTTTGTCTTTAAGATTCGAATGCAGTAAAACAATGTCTCCACCCGTGCACGCACATGCTCACACGCACACGGACATAAATAACAAACACTATCGCCTTCCCAATCGCTAGCTTGCCTTCGCTTATTGGTGGAGACCTAAACTGTGCTTGGAAGGAAAGACAAAGTGCACACACACTCTGGTTCTTACCTTCATTTGCATCTACTTCGAATGTTCACTCACGGCCAACACTTATTTATCGCACCCAACTAAAAAGGCCACAAGCAACTAAATTTCTGTTAATTGAGCTGCACTGCTCATTAATGCTGTTATGTTAAAACCACATTCATTCAGATATCTATTCATGAAGGAATGTGGTTAAAACCACGTCCATCCATGGGACAGTACTGAAACTAGATTGCTGAGAATTTTACTTACATAAATGTTTTTAAAAATATACCGTATTTACTCCCCTCATGAAAGCACTTTTTTTCTCGAAAAATCGGAGCAAAGTAGGAGGTGCGTTTATTATGCAGGGCAAATTTATTGAAAACTTTTTCGGGAGGAGCAAAAAATGCAATAATTCAAAAAAGGTTAGGTCTGGTATCCTTTCACAATTGGATTATGCATACACTGTTTGGAAACAGCTTCTTCAGTGGTTGATGTGGCTATCTTCTTCAAACTGTCCCTGCACCGCCTGCGCATGCCATAAAAGGGTTTTGCGGCTATTTTTTCGCAATCGTTTAACCGCAACAGTAGCATTTGCATGATCTCGAGGAAAGCCCAGAAGTGTGCGCTATGACACACTCTGCCAACTTCGCGGCAACCTCGCACGACGACCGCGCCGCCGCTGTTCACATTGTAGCAAGTAACCAACATTGTAGCAAGCTACTTTCGAAGCATCTAAACAAACCGTCGATAACAATATTAACGACAAAATACGGCCGCCACCTTGCTTCCACATGAAAGTTCCAGGACGCTCGGATAGCAAGCGAAGCGAGAATTGGGGGTGCTACCATGTCACGTTGGAGGTGCTACCAAAATTGCCACGATCTTTTCTGGGCGACAAGCGATTTTCTTCTGGTTTTTCAGAAAACTGTGACGCCATAGCGACAAATGATCCTTCACGGCAGAAAATCCTGTCGTCTTCGCTCGAAAATCGCGTGCATGTGGTCGGGCTTTAAAGTTTTGTACGTATGTGCCGGAAGCGACAGTCGGTTGACGCGGGCATTTTCGTGACCTTCGCTCGCTGTGTGCTTATCAGCTGCAATGTCTCTACAGTTGCACAATTTGTGAGCCCCACTGGCAGATAGAAAAGATGAGGTACGTGCCGTGAACAGACAAAGAAAAACAATACAGCTCGCAGCAACAAGCAAAGGGCGGGAAGAGCGAGCCGAGGTGACCGAGGGGGTTTGCATAATGATAAAAAAATGGGAGAGATCCAACGGGTAAGGAGGCGCCAGGTGTCGGTTAGCGGGACTGCAGTGAATGAATGTAGGGGGTGCGTTTATTACGCGAAGGGAAAAATCCTAATTTTGGCAATTGAAGTTGGGGATGCGTTTATTCATGCGAAGTGAATTGCATTACCTGAGTAAATACGGTACTGTTGCTCTTTTCCTGCACGTGTAAAAAATTGCAATGTGCTACGAGGAACAATTAGACAACTCAAGTCTGCATTCACTTAAGTACCATGAAAACCATGTATTCTGAATCATCAGACACAATGACCTTTAAATTTACAGCATCATATGTTGCTGGATTAGTGAAATTCTTGATGAAAAAACAAAAACTAGTGAACATCCTGCATGCACCAAAACTCTAAACAGCGAAAGCCCGAAAGTGCAGTGTCCACAAATGCTGCCAAGCCCAACTCACGGGAGTCATTGCTTCGGCCCACTCCCCGTGACCCCGCTGGAGGATCTTGATGCGTTCGAGGTCGCTGCAGATCTGCACCAGGTCACCGACGGCAAACTGCTGTGACGAGGCTGCATCCCCAATGCCACTGCCACTCGCTGCCGATGTTGACGCAGTCGATGCGGTGTTGACGCGAGTCAGCACGGCCGGGTTGAACGTCCACCTGGCGGCAACGACGAAACATCCATACGGGCACAGTGATGAATCCAACATTTGGGATCGCAGTACCTTCCTCAACATGCAATAATAGAGTGCACACACAGCCTCCAAAGGGTCGCGATTAGCAAAACAAGCTCACAAAGTCAACCGTAGAGGTTCTCAACAAGATTGAATTTTCAAGAGGAAAGCTTACTGGTTCGTACTTTGGCATACTGTAACTCAACTCGTTACACTGTTTTGCTCTCTTGCATTAAACATCAATAGACACGGTAGGACAGATATGCTCTTCTTAGATTTCTGCAAAGCCTCCGATAAAGTTCCCCATAGGAAACTCATTTCCAAACTTAGAAAAATAGGTATACCAGAAATATTCCTTTGTTGGATTTCTGCATATTTAAATAATCGCAAACAGTACGTTGATGTAGGGGGCCAATATTCGGACTGTCTTCCAGTCACATCGGGCGTACCACAGGGCAGTGTGTTAGGCCCTTTTCTTTTTCTATTGTATATCAAATGATATTGTTGATGTTATTCACCCTAGTGTAGAAATAAGATTGTTTGCAGATGATTGTGTTTTGTTCAAAGAAATACGTTCCACTAACGATTTCAACGATCTGAGCACTAGTCTTTGCAATATATATGAATGGTGCGACAAATGGGGAATGTGTCTCAGTGCGAACAAATGTATGTGCCTTCCAGTGACTCGCCAAAAGAATCCACAATTGTATACATACATATTAGGGTATTCACCACTGCAACAAGAAAACTCCCACAAATACCTTGGTGTGACACTCACTTCCAACTTATCTTGGAATCTCCATATTGATAATGTTTGTTCATCTGCCTTTCGCAGACTATGTCTTCTTAAACATAAATTTCGAAGTGCTCCCACAAATATTAAACTACTTTGTTACACTGCTCTTGTGCGACCAAAACTAGAGTAAGCGAGCATAGTATGAGACCCTTATACAAAACGTAATATATACACTCTTGAGCGTATTCAAAGAAAAGCTGTTAGTTTTATAATCAAGTACTCCAAGTTAGACTGACCCTGAGATTTAATGCTAGCCAACAACATTCCCTTACTGCAGATGCAGAGACAAAAAGCTAGATTAGAATTCCTTGATCAACTTTTGAACAAAAAAACTAGCTCTAGACCCATCCCCGTATTTGACACCCCTTAGTAGCCGAGCCACCCGACACCACCACCCTAAGGCCTTAATCCCATATTTTGCTCGCACAGACCTACTGAAGTATAAGTAGTTTCCAAGAACCATATGTTAATAGAACTGTCTTACTAATACATGTGATGAATGAATTACCCTACCAGACAACCTTCTTTGCCCTTTATTTATTTATTTATTTATTTATTTGTTTGTTTGTTTGTTTGTTTATTTATTTATTTATTTATTTATTTATTTATTTATTTATTTATTTATTTATTTATTTATTTATTCAGAAATACCCTGCTTTGCCCAAAGGCGTGTAACCAGGGGGGTTACAGCTTTGAAAAAAACAAGTCTTTGTATGACAGCACACTTAGTCACAAGACAATTGATTCCACTCTTTTACGGTATGAACAAAAAAAGAATTAGCATAAAGGTTCGTTCCAGTCCGGTATTCTTTAATCTTAAGGTCATGATCAGACCTTCTAGACAGATAATGTGGTGGTTCAAGGTAAGTGTCTTTATTGATGCCAGTCTTCTTATGGTATATCTGAAATAACAATTTCAAACGCAATTTTCTTCTACGAGAGGAGAGCGCTTCCCATCCCAGCTCGTTTTCCATTTCAGTACAGCTGTCACCTCGCTTATACCGACAGAGAACGAACCTTGCCGCTCTGTTCTGTATTTTCTTGATCAGATCAATCAAGGAATTTTGGCGCGGATCCCACACACAACATGCATATTCCAAAATCGGGCGGGCAAATGAAACATACGCAGTACTTTTTAGGACAGCAGGGGAGGATCTCAGATTTCGTTGAATGAAATTTAGGGCTCTGGCAGCTTTTGCAACTACAGCATGCACATGCGCCTTCCATGAACAGTCACTCGTAAGTGTTACACCCAAGTATTTATACATTGATTGATGATCAATGACGTCACCATTCAAAAAGTAACGCGCTTCATCCTTCTTTTCTTTTTTTTAGTAAAAGACACGTGCACACATTTTTTCACATTAAGTTGCATTTTTCACTTATCACACCATTGCACAATTCGGGTAAGGTCAGCCTGCAATTAAATGCGATCCTGTTCATTTTTTATTTTTCTGTACACAACTGAGTCGTCAGCAAATAAACGTATTCGAGAAGTAATGCCATCAGGAATATCATCAATGTAAACTAAAAACATTAGCGGCCCTAAAACTGACCCTTGAAGGACACCCGATGTTACTTCCACCGTAGAAGAAGTAGTACCATTGAGAATGACACATTGTCGACGCTGTGATAGATAACAGGCTATCTAATTCAGTACTTTCTTATCAATATTTCCCCTTTCGAGTTTGCGAAGAAGCAAGGGATGGCACACGGTGTCAAACGCCTTTCTGAAATCTAAGAAAACACAGTCTGTTTGACCGTTGTCATCAACCTCGAACACTAAATCATGGTAAAACTCAATCAGCTGTGTTGTGCAAGACAGACCCCTGAGGAAACCATGTTGATCATCAACTAATAATTTATGTTGAACTAAGTGTTTCATTATGTCTTCATAGAAAATGTGCTCTAGTATTTTGCAGGGAATAGATATTAATGAAATAGGTCTATAATTGTTGGCCTCTTTTTTGGAACCACCCTTGTGAATGGGAACCACGAAAGTCATTTTCCAGTCCTCAGGCAGAATTCCAGTAGAGAGAGATTTTTTGTATATTAGGTAAAGATAAGATGCTATTGGCCAGGCACAGCGCTTCAACACGCGTGTGGAAACACCATCTGGACCAGGGGCCTTGGTTTCGTCTATATTTTTCAAAAGGGATTCGATACCACTCACACAGAGTTCAACCGGTGGCATTAATGGCTGAGTTCCCAGAGGTGGCTCTGCCAGCGTAGATAATTTCTCAAAATCGGTTTGGGGTAAAAATACGGAGTGAAAGAAATCATTGAGACACGATGCTTTATCAATATCGCTAGACAAGATCTGATCATCATGGAAAATTTCGTTTACTCCGGTTGAATCAGCTCCACAGTTTCTTACGTATCTCGAAAAAAGCTTTGGGTTCGTTTTTATACTTTCGTTTAGTCGATTGAAGTATTGATCCTTTGCGCTACGAGCTTTAGAATTATATTCATTAGTTATCTCGACTAACTTGGTGTACTGATAACTACTATGGGTTCTTTTAAATGCCTTGTATACTCGTCGTCTTTTCCTTATTAATCTAAAGATCGCTGGTGTCACCCATGGCTTCTTGCACTTTTCGAGTTTAACCGCGTTTGTACTTGGCACATACTTTTCCGTTAGTTCTATGACTTTCTCTTTAAATAGAGAACACAGTTGTAAAACATCGGCGCTCTCGTAATGACAATCGAAAACAGGCAAATGAGCAAATAATTCCTGAGAAATAGAAGAGTAATCACCCTTATCATAAAAATATACCTTCCTCGATTGGCGGGGCTTGGGTCTCTTGATCTCATGTTTAATAGTTGCTACAACAGTGAGATGGTCACTGACACCGGGTATACACGTCACAGAGTCTACAATGTTTGGCAAATTACAAAAAAGCAAATCTAAAATGTTATTATTCCTTGTGGCCACAGTAACGTATTGAGTAAGACCGAACGTATCATCGATGTTTTTCATGCTGATGTTTTCGCGACAACCAGTCAAGGCGATACATGTTCCATTATACCACGTCAAATCCGGTAGATTGAAATCACCGGCAAGTATAAACTGATCTGATGTTCTGCAAATTATGTCGTACAGTTGCTGCAACGTATCTGGGTCAGAATTTGGTGGTCGATAAAACGTTCCGGCAATAAATTTCATATTATCAGCAAGTGTCACCGTGCAGCAGACCGATTCTACATCATCGTGCTCGATATCAAGTTCAGATGACCGTAAGGAAGAATGAACTAACAAAAATACCCCTCCGCCTGTTCTTGCCCTATCATTTCGGTAAGCGTTAAAGTGGCTAGGAAACACCTCACTATCATTGATTGACGGTATCAGCCATGATTCTGTCCCAAACACTATTTCTGCCTTCGTCGATTCAATTAAGCCCGCGAATATATCTATTGTATTCACAATACTTCTGCAGTTTACAACAACAGCTGTTAGGTTGTGTGAGGATGAGGCGGTCTTACAAGCAGGGTGTCAGTTCTTTAGAGCTGGAACTACCTTTTCTTTTTTCTTTGTCCCACGTGAAGGCCTTGCCATCAACAATTAGTTTGTCGAAACTTAGTTTAACCTTGCTACTGCTGTCTGCTAGTTCAGTTTTAGCGTAGTTCCACAATCGTTTTCGGATTTCTCGTGTTTCTGGTGCGTAGTCTTGATCAACACTGTAATCAGACCCTTTGAATTAGCGTTTTTAAGGACATCCATTTTTTTCTTGACGGAGGAAAAATAAACCACAATTGGCCGGTTGAACTTCTTGTTGAATCGACCGATACGGTGTGCTCTTGTCAGTTCTATTGCAAGACGAGTTAGACAGACATTGTTTCGTTTCATTAGACATTGTTTCGTTTTGCAAATATTTTATTTATATTTGTATATGTATTACCACCCTGATTGGACCTTGAGTCTGCAGTATTGAATAAATAAATAAATAAATATGAAAAAGGGCATACAGTCGTATCATGTTATAACAAAACATAATAAGTTATCCCTAAATGATGAATCATCTCGCCCTTATTACAGCTTCAGATAATACACTCAATTCTGAATATAACGAAAACAGGTATAACTAAATATTATTTATAATGAATGAAATAAAGAAATAGTCTTGCAATACAAAGTGTTAGGAATAACATTTATAATAAATTTTTTTATATAACAAACTTATTTTCTAGTAAGAAGCAACTTTGTTATAATGAGGTTTGAGCATAAGCCATCCACTTCAAGTGTCCCGTTATCGGCAATAGAACTGCTACTTTCTCCGCTTCTTTTTTTCCCCGCGCCGTCAAGGATTGGAACGACCTTCCCTGCTTCATTGCTTCAACCACTTGCCCATCATCCTTCGCCACAAATGTTACAAATCACCTGTGCTGCAAAAATTAACGTGTTCAAATGTTCTCTTTTCCTGTGTATCCATCCCTTATGTAATACCCCTCAGTGGGGTCCTTAAGGAAATAAAAATGAATGAACGAATGAAATGTGCTTGCAATGACTTTTGGATATCCCAAAGTTATTTTTGTGTATTGTGCAACTTTATTGCAAGGTTTAACTGCACTACGCTCATGACGCTCATTACCACTCAGAGCTTAAAAGAACAATCTTAGCAAAGCTACTTATGAAAACTTCGCCACATCCTCAAAAACACTTTTGCTGTGAAAACACGTGCGAGTTAAAGACGTAAATAACTTAAGCCCACACAAAATGCGCTACCAATGTCACTGGATCTCTTACGAAGGCTCAATTGCTCGTTCCTTGAAGTCTGCACACTTTTTTTTAAATGATGCTGCAAATTGCTACATCTGGTAAATGTTGAGACGACACACTCATCAAGCTCCACAAACAGTAGCGGTGTGGTCACTGACGCACAAATAAGAGTGATCCCTCAAAACTAACGATCCTATATTTCCTGGCAGCAGAGTTGGGCTATCGGGTTGGGAATAAGTAAACCCCCCAGGGCAGGAAAACTCAACAATTAAAAAGTGTTAACTAGGCTCGTGTGAATAGTGAATTTTAGGTTCGTAATTTCGGTCTCGAATTGATATCACATATAATGAAGAAAGGTGTGTATATTTGTTATGATTCAACTAACCGACGCATTTTTTTTTTCTAATTGAAGTCAGGCTTGCGCAAATGCCATGCTTTTTTTTTTTCGAAGGAGGTGTAATCAACTATGACCAGTAGCAGGATTTGATATTCATAGAATGCAAGTGATAAACTGTAAAGTATGTTACTTTTAAAAATTTACTATACTTAGAGCACATAAGCCGATATACCAAGCTTTAAAACTTAAAAAATAATGAATCGATGTGAAGGTAATATGCTCATTTAACCTTGAAGTCAAACTTCGCAGCAATGTGAATTTCTCCTGTATAAATGTTTTCACCGCTTAGCACTCCTTTATAACAGCGAAGCCACCTTTAGAGGAAAGTTACATCAGGACTAATACAGTCGAACACGGACATATCAAACCCACATACAGTCGACTCTCGTTAATCCGAACTCGAAGGGACCTCTGAATTTTGTTTGAATTATCAAGGAGTTTGAATTATCAAAGTTCTCAGATAGATGACTCTCGGTGGGCTGACACGAGAAATTATGATTAGGCATTGAATATATCACATTTTAAAATTTTTGCCTTTTAAGCCCTAACTGCATGCACACAGTGAACAGAAAGCAGAGGTGGAAAGTCGACAAGTTTATTGGCCATTTACTGCAGATCAGACCTTTCAAAGCAATTGTGAATTGCCAACTGCTTCATTGCTATAGGTATGAGCCTTCAGCACGAAGCTCTCTATACCAGTTGAGAAGCATCACGGTTTACCATGCGTGTGCTTTGTTTCAAACATTTGTTTACTTGCAAAGCATTTTTCATTTTTAGACTATTCGGATTATATAAGCAGACTAATTTTTAAATGGTAGTGGGAAAGCAACTGATATTTTCTGGTATGGACCAGCAAAAAGCATGAATTAACCAAATAATGGAATCTGAATTAAGAGGCTTTTAAATACATTGAAAAAATAGAGGGCCAACCAAAAATTGAATTTTGTTTGAATTAACCAAAAGTCTGAATTATTGCGAAACTACTGTATATTGAATTTTCGAGTATATCGAACTCGTAAGTTATCCCCTTGAAATTCCTTTGTAAAAGTATAGAAATTCGCACGTTTATATTGAACAGTATTTCCACCCCCCTTCAAATATGTCGAACACCGCACGAGCTGGAAGGTGCGCTTCGGCACTCGCCATGCTCCGCGATTTCCGTGGCAGCCCAGCTTCGCGCGCCAGTTGGAAGGTGCATTTTGGCACTCACAGCCTAGCGACCTCCGCGCAGCACCATGCCTCCCCCAAAACCCGAAACGCTTGAAAAAAAGATAAGGGCGACAGGGCAAAACAGTTCTTTTCTTGTTTTTTTTTTTTTTTTTCATTTCTCTTTCTCTCTCGCTCAGGTTTTTCCCGCGCACTCGTCGGCTTTGAGAGTAGGAACGAAGGAGCTGACGTCCTCCTCCTTTTGCCTTTTCTTTTATTTTTTGTTGCTGTTTTGCGAGCTTGGTCAGCCAACCACCACAGCTCGCGCCTTTCGCTGTTGACCCTGCAGATAGCCCGCATGTGCAGCATTTCTCTTTCGCGTGCGTAATGTGCAAAACCGCAGTGGACTCCTTGTTGTCGACTTCTCATGTAGCTATGGCCAGAGTCAAGAAGCGCGAGACCCTTGACTTTGCGACGAAGTTGAAGGCTATTCAGCGTGTTGAGGCGGGTGGAGAATGTCTGACCGTCGCGGATGACTTCAGGATACTACGGATCACTTTGAATATCTTGTTGAAGAACAAAGCAGATATCATGGCAAAGGCGGCGGAGCAGCGAACATCGGGAACCTGTCATGTGCACACTCTTGCCCATGGAAATGTACAAAAGGCACTCAATGCCTGGTTTTAGAAGTGCGCCCGAAGAACATTCCGATGGATGGCCCAATGCGGGTGGCCAAGGCCAAATGGCTTGCCGCTGCACACAGTGAAAGCTGCACACAGTGAAACAATTTCGCCGACAACACCGGGTGGTTTCACCGATTTGTGCAGCGCTACAACATCGTTGGCATAACCATTTCTGGCAAAAGCGAAGCTGTCAGCAGCCAGGACATCCAGCAGTGGATGACGAAGGAGTGGCCGGAAATCTTCACAAAGTTCTCTTCAGTGGAGATCTTCAGTGCCTGGCGAGACGTGAAGACGGACACAGTGGTCAACTGCTTCCGCAAGGCAAGCTACCAGACGGCAGAACTTGCGGAAACTGGTGAAGACGACGACGAGCACAAAGACTACGCATTTCGCGAGTGGTCGTCACACTTCCCGGAAGCAGTTCCATACAAAGTGTGTGCCGACGATTTTGTGGAAGCGGACTGCAATGTCCAGGCAGTTGCAAGCCTCGCTGACGACGACACAGTAGCTGCGGTCGCAGGGACCCCGGATGCCCAGTTTGACAGCTCATGTGACGAGAAGGATTGTTCGGACAAGGCGCTGGCTACACGCACGTACTCTGCCGCTGAAGTGGCGGCAGCGTTTGGCATCATTCGTCCTTGTATCGGCCACATGGAGGAAACCGAGCTGTCACACCTGGACAGCCTTGATAAGATCGAGACTAGCGTCTTCAACATTTCAAAAACAAAAACGCAGGCCAAGATTAGCGATTTTTTTCGCGCAAATAAGTTATTCTGTTGCGGCATGTGTGCGGAAATTAGTTGTCATTCTTGAATGCGCCTATTGTAGGTGATCGTTCGCTACAGGTAAGCTCTCGGGGCTTGTATTTTTTTTTATATAGAATTTTTCAAATGTCGAACTGATTCGCGATCTCCTTCAAGTTCGATATATCCAAGTTCGACTGTATAAATTATTTGTTTATTTCGAATATTTCAAAATTCTGAGTAATTTAAATTTGAATCGTACTGAATTCAAATGAAGCAATATTCATTTGAACATTCGAAGCATTCGTATATTCACACAAGCCTGGTGTTCACAAATGCACAATTTCAAGCTCCAAAACACTCCGTACCTGTTAGCACTTGGATAGGAAACCACTATGTCGTGGTCTTCATCAACGCCAATCACTGTGCCTGTTGTTCCGAGACACTGCGAAAAAATCGCAACAACGATATGACTGAATCATCCATTTGACAGATCTTGCTCACAGACATGTTTCAGTGTTTCATGCCACCAATACAAATGACTGGAGCTTCAAAAACTGCAAGTGAGAAGACTGAAATGTTACTTTGCTTTAAAGCCACACCAATGAGGCAGACAGTTTACACTGCATCTCCAAGTTATTTTCTACAATATTGAAAAAGTCATTCACACTGAAAAAATAGATTTGAGATTTCAGAAGAAAACGCTGGCAGCGATGCTGCTTGGGAATTACTAAACCATACATTTTCACACTGTCTTAGTGGCTTGTTCTACTGCTAATCGATAAAGACGCACAATTGCAGTATCATTTTCGGTGTCTACAAGCAGAGAAGACTGTGATCACTTTAAAAGAGGCTCGCACTGGACATTGCATCCTGATTAAAGGTAATGCGTCAGTGAGCGTGTTAAACTGACAACAGCACAGTTTCTAGCAATATTAGCCGGATAAAACTCCGGCACTGCAATCATTCAGACACCACGAGAATGATGGTTAGGAAAATGAATTGGCCTATTCTTTATGCTAGCGGCTTGATACGCACTTGTAGCTCTGTTTACTCTCGTGTTTCAGCTTTTGTTTCGGGCAAAAAAAACAGCTCAATATGAACCTCTACAGCCAATATGAATACGTGAGCCCAAAAAGAGCAAAGGTGCTGAAATGGGACTGCTGAACTGTTGCTAAACTTCGTCTTGCAGGAAGGAAAGAACACACACACACAGAGCAATGTTGCATTCTGTGTGTTTTATCTTACTTCTTTGTTTTTTTTCCATCCAATTTGCTACACTGCTCGCACTTTCTCTTTCAACAGAGTGGCAGCAGTCCACATTGAGACGAGAGAACGTAGTGTGGTCAAATCACGTACTGCCCACCATTCCCATGTTGGCTGAAGCCCCATGCCTTGCAGCTCCCATAGACACTAGCACCAGAGTTCCCTGTAGTCTACTGACACAAAACTCTACGCATAATAACAGGGCCCCCCTGATAGTGAAACCTCGCAGCAGCATGCATGCCGAGCAGACCACACACACCTCGTACATTCCATCTGTCCAGCCACCATGGCCGTGCTGAAGTGACTGAACGATTTCAAGATCCAAGTCTACATTCACTTGGTCGCCGACTTGGAAGCCCACACCTCCAGAACGACCGGGTCCTTGTTCTCCTGAGAGTGAGAGATATGAAGAGGTTTGTAGTAAGGCGATGAAATGCTCAAAAATTGTGAAGTGATAATCCACACGGACATACAGAGCGTCATAGAAACACATGAAAAAGGAAGAAAAACGGTATGTACTCATTTTATTTAGGGCCCACAAGGCATATTGACCAATTACCTGGCTGTGGTAGCTTAGGACGTGAGGTGTCGCGCTGCCAATATTGAGGTCGTGGGTTCGAATTACCAATGAAAGCAGTCACATTTAGATTACTGGCAATACACTCAAACCTCGATAAAACTGAACCTAGATACAACAAAACATCGGTCATAATGCAGTAAATAAAGATAGTCTTGCAATACCTATGTTATAATTACACCTTTATAATAAATTTTTGGATATAACAAGTTATTTTGCTGTCAGATACAAATTTTTTATAATGATGTTGGAGCATATGTGACCAAAATGAAGCCTCACGTGGTCATAATTCAAGACATAGGTCTGCCCTTTATGGCATCCCTCATGATGACATCATGCTTTTGTCATGTTAAAACCCACCAATTACTAACACTACCTTAAATCTTTAATGCATATTTTGGCTATTCTTGGCTTCCGCTTAGTGGCGCAAATTCACGTAATCATGGCTCGTGGTATGCGGGTACTGTATTTATTCAAATCTAGGTCAATAGTTTTTTTTTCATATTTCTTTGTATCAAACTCCAGGGTCAGCCTAGGTTTGAAGATATTTAAAAACTCGCTATTTTTCATTGAGAAAAGTGGTACACAACTAGCGCTACCTAGACTACATTGTAGACGTTAGTAGCCGAGCCAACACCTGGCTTAAGTACACACATGAGGCCGCCATTTTGATTTTCGTGGTGAGTGTTGAGGCAGGCGAGCCGGCTGTCATTTCGAGTCGCGTTTCGAGTGGTCTGTGTGTGGCATAGCTCAATGGCGCCAAACAGTTGGTGTCATTTTAGTGCCTCTTATAAAAGGAAAGTTGTCCTAGCTGCTGAGTCGTTGTCAACATTCAAGCCAGGCAGGACTTAAGAGTGGAAGGAAAAAATGTGCATCGCTGAAGGCACTGCAGCATGGGATGACAACCCGGGAACTTTGATTGCGCGATTGTGCACTCCTTGAAGAAGTGTGGCATATCCAATGCACTTTATGGCACCGAGGATTGCACAATGTTTGAAGTCACCGATGAGGGAAGCAGCAACAATGATTCGGAATAAGTGCAGCATCGGCAAGCGTGTCATCTTTATGATGTCAATAACTAAGAAGCAACGCGAAAAAAACTACAAATAAACATACAACAGGAATAGCGGTACTGTGTTTCTCAAGTTATTTGCATGATGAACCAACTGCTTTGTTTTATCTTCATGTTCAATAAATGTTTTCTCTTTGTGAATGCTGTCTTCGCTGTTTTGTTCGGCCAACAGTCGAGATAAGGTTATTTATTTGTTTATTTTTTCCAGGCTTCGAACTTTTAGGATTTGGCTTAGAACCAGGGTCGGCCTAGATTCGAGTAAATGCAGTATGGGCCACATGAGACTTGGACCAAGGGCATTATGACATAGAAGACAGCCATGTCATGATATTCATGTTGTGACCTGCTGTTTGTCATGGCCTCACATTCTCCCACGTCAATTCAGGTGTATATATCGAGTGAAGAGGGCATCCATGAAAGCCCCCAGGTGTAGGTAGCTAGATAGATAAATAGCAATGGTCATAGTGCCTTTGATTAGCAAAGAAATGCTTCGCACTTAAAATTCGCCAACAATTACGATACTCCACAATGCAAAATTTGAGCACAGCTACTTACAAAACCTGATTCCACCAATTGCATCGTGTTGTTAGTGTGAACGCAGACTAAAATTGTATGCGTGTATATATGTAATGAAATACTAATTACAGGTTTGAATAGCCATCCTTCGGTTTAAAGAGTGAATTGAAAAAAGTGACTATTAACTTCATTTTTACTTGGGTACAACACCCCTTGTCAGGATCTGTGAGCAATTTGTTAACCAGCACAACAGCATTTCACCACTGAACAGTTTACACTGGTCACATTAAGGCATGGGCAGCTTACCTAGGAGAGGTAGGTGGTCCCTGTAGACTGTGCCACCCTTCGCGTCATTCACAACTTTGAGATCAGCCTGAAAACAAGAGGAAGCACAAGACCTCCACTGAGTGACAAGCACCTCCTATATGCCTGAATTTTTAACACCGCATCCCCAAAAGATAAATCAATTTTAACAAGCCATTTATTCAAAGTATATGACTAACAAAACAAAAAGCTAAGCACAGGGGCCTACACTTGACAGATAAAAGGTTCAAGGATGAAAAAAAAAAGAAAATTCACTTTGACGATCATTAGTGTCACAAGTATATTAGGAAACAAACAGGTGTTAAGGACATCATAGTCTAAATCACGAGGATGAAATGAATTTATAGTAAAAAAAACGGCTATATTAGAGAAGAAGAAAGGCAACAGGACAGATCGCTGAGCTAATAACATGAGCATTTATTTCATGCGAACACAAACATATGCCTTGGAAAAGGGGAAAGAAGGCAAATGAACGAAAGGTGGCACTGCGCCTGCATCTCAAACTAGTAGATCAAACAGCAAAGTTCAATCACGTTGATAACTGATCTCAGTCAGCACGATGGACCGTGTGCTTACACATGATAATCAATGAAATGGATCTTGAACGCTTCATAGATCTCCCGGGCATAGTAATCATAATATTATTACAGGATGTGATGGGTTTATTTACACTGATAATGCCAGCTCTCGACCGTCACTGCCGAATCATCATCGCTCGAGAGCGTTTTACCTCTTCTTCTTTCTCGCTCTTTCAGTCCGCGTTACATTTTCCTCCAGGCAAGACGAAGCTTACCGAGCGAGTAGAAGCGATCAGGTTGTTGTAGGGCTTCAATCGGGCAATGTGCACAATTTGCGTCTTACGCGAACGACCGGTTCTGAGCTGTCACTTTCGCAACAGCGTAAGTGACGTCACTCAGGCACTGAGTAATGACGAATGGTCCTGCGTACTTGGAAAGAAGCTTCTGGCAAAGCCCCTTCTTTCGAACAGGGCGTCCACAGCCAGACGAAATCACTCGCAGCGAAAGTCACAGGCGGGTGTTTTGCGTCGTAACGGTCTTTCGCGCGAGCGTGGCCAGAAAGAGTTCGGAGCCGAACAAGTCGACGAGCTTCTTCGGCGCGACACAAAGTCTGCGCAACACTGGCGTTTTTGTTCGTCGAAAAAGAAAGTATGGTGTCAAGGAAACTTTGGGGATGACGGGCATAAAGAAGAAGAAAGAAAGGCGTATAACCTGTGACCTCGTGTTTCACGGTATTAAAGGCGTATGTAACAAAAGGTAATACGGCATCCCAGTTTTTGTGATCCGCTACGACGTACATTGAAAGCATGTTGATGATGGTACGATTGGTGCACTCAATGAGGCCGTTGGTCTGAGAGTGGTATGGCGTAGAATGCAGATACTGGCACTCACAAAGCCATAGAAACTTCTTCGACAACGTCAGCGGTAAACTGCAGGCCGCGATCATTTATCACCACACGAGGTGTCCCGTGACGGAGTATGATCGAGTGAAGAAGAAACCATGACGCATGAGATGATGTGGCTGAAGCGACCGCCTTCGTTTCAGTATACCACGTCAGGTAATCTACGCACACAATAATCCAGCGGCGGCCGGTGGTAGACTTGGGGAAAAGGGCCCAGTAAATCTATGCCGACTTTTTCGAATTGTGATGTCAGTGGCATAACCAGCTGCAGTGGGCGGGCCAATAGCGTGGTAGGTTGTTTGTGGCGTTGGCAGACATCACAACTTGCGACGTAGTGCTTGGTAGTCTTCCAGAGTCGAGGCCAGTAAAAACATTGTCGAATACGGTGAAGTGTTCGGGCAAATCCAAGGTGCCCAGACGTGATGTCATCGTGAATGGCTTGAAATACCGCAAAACACAGGCATTCTGGCACGACGAGGAGTAGTGTGGAACCATGGCTGGAGTAATTCTTGCGATATAGTAGGGAGTCATGAATTACAAATGGCCGTGGCGCGTTTAGAGCTACGAGCCACATCGATCATTCGTTTCAACGAAGGGTCACGCTGTTGCTCGTGACGGAAGACGTCCAAATTTGGGAAGTTGGATGAGATTGCAGCCACGTAGTTATCGAAATCATCAGCAGCATCCACAGTCGGAGATGGAAGACAAGATAAGCAGTTGGCATCTGCGTGACATCGACCGCTCTTGTATGTCACCGAAAAATATTCTTGAAGCAGTAAGGCACAACAAGCTAACCGGCCAGCTGGGTCACGTAGTCCGACGAGCCAACAAAGAGAATCATGATCTGTGATGATCTTGAACTGCCCGCCGTACAAATAAGGTCAGAACTTTTGGACGGCAAAACAACAGCAAGACATCCCAGTTCGGTGACCGTATAATTCTTCTCTGCCTTAGTCAAAGTACGACTTGCATACACCACAACGTGCTGGCGGCTGTCGTGATACTGAACTAGCAGGGCACAAACATCGATACCACTAGCATCTGTATGCAGTTCCGTGAGTTTCTCCGGGTCGAAATGGTGCAAGAGGGGCCCGGAAGTAAGCAAATACTTCAGCTGCTCGAAAGCAGCCTCACACTCATGGTCCATCGAAATGGAGCATTTTTGTGGAGATACTCTGTCAGAGGATGAGAAAGCTGGGCGAAGTCTTTGATAAACCGGTGAAAATAAGAACACATGCCTACGAAGCTATGGAGATCCTTCACAGATGTTGGTTGCTTGAAGTCTTGGACAGCACTGATGTTTCGCGGGTCTGGCCGTATACCGTTCCCTGTTGACTAGATATCCGAGCACAAGGGCTTGACGCTCACCGAAATGACACTTCTTTGCGTTTAAAACGAGACCAGCTTGTTTGACGCAATCTAGAACAACGCTAAGTCGATGGTTGTGCTCGTGGAATGTCTTGCCGAAAATAATTATATCATCGAGATAACACATACATATCTCCGATTTGAGACCGTGAAGGATGAAGTCCATGAATCACTCAAAGGTAGCTGGGGCATTGCATAAGCCAAACGGCATAACGTCAAATTCAAATAACCCATCAGGCATGACAAAAGCAGTCTCCTCTCTGTCAGACGGATGCATTGGTATCTGCCAGTATCCAGACCTTAGGGCGACGGACGAAAAGTATGCGGCCGAGTGCAGACAATCAACAGCATCATCGATGCTTGGTAGCGAATACTCGTCTTTCTTTGTGACAGCGTTGAGACAGCGGTAGGTAGTTACACAAAATCGCCAAGAGTTGTCTTTCTTTTTTACCAATATAGCAGGAGCTGTCCAGGGACTGCTTGACTCTTGAATAACGCCTTTCTGCGGCATGTCATAGACCTGATCGGCGATCACTTGCCTCTTTGACAGGCATACACGATAGGGTTTCTGGCGTATCGGTGTATCATCTCCCGTGTTGATGCGGTGGTGCATACGGGATTCGGTCCACATGGAACAACGCTTGTCTTAAGCGAAATCAAAGACTCCCGCGTAGTGTGTAAGCACATCCTCGAGGACATGCTGCTCGGAAGAAGGCAACGACTTATTGATCATGCGTTTCATCTCGGCTGAGTAGTTGGGCGCAGTCTGACTGATAGCTGGAGACTCTGAGACCATTCTGACGTCAACTGTGGCCTGCTCCTCAAACGTTCTCAGTTTGAATCCAGCTGGTAGAACAACAAGTTCTGAGGCTGCGTTTAGCGCCCACAAACAAGCATGTCCGTCGATGGCTGTAAGGACAGATCATGGGACCAGCACATTCTTCTTGATGGCGTTTGTATGATCAGGATCGACAAGTCCAGTGCGGGGTGTGAGAAGAGCATACGGGAACAAACACTGCTGTCCGACCAGGGATCGTCACATCTTCAGAAAACGAAAAGCGCATCGATGGGCAGAGTCGGAAAATCGTCAACTATGGCAGCGGGCAACGTACTTTGTAGAAAAATCTCTCCAGTTCCGCAGTCAAGCGTAGCGCTGCATTCATGAAGGAGGTCTATTCCTAAAATGACGTCATGAGTTGCGCGAGCCAGTACAGTGAATGCAACTCGGATATTTTTTCCACCAATCGTGAGTACAACTGAGCAAATAACAACAGGGCATAACGCTTGGCCTCCAACTCCACGAAAAGTTTCTTTATGATTCGACGTGAACATAACTTTGTGACCCAAGAAACGATGCTTAAAACGAAGACTGATAACCGAAATAGCAGTGTCTACAAGAGCAAGAGTATCCACCTCGTCTATACACACACACACTTTGTTCATCAACATCACAGCAGAAGGAGGAATTGGTGAAACTGACCGTCCGACGACCGCACCTCCATCGGTCGCACCAGCTAGTTTCCCAGCTGATGTGGGGAAGGCGACCGACGACGCGTAGACGGTGACCGGTGGGAACGTGTCGCAAGCGGTGTCAGGCTTCGCTCGGAGAGGGGGGACTCGCTGCGAAATTCATTAGGCCATTGCTGTCGGGGACGGTGGTCCGCCGGGTGAGAGGTCCAGGTTTCGTACATATGAGGCGGGTTCGTCGAAGAACGTGGCGGCAAAGGCATTTTGTGCATACAAGCCGGGTACGGCGAAAAACGTGGCAGCGCAGGCGGCCGGCTGGGACAGAAGCACGAAATATGCTCTGGGAGACCGCATGTGTAGCAAACGGGGACTTGTCGGCTTAGATTAGCAGGAGCAGAGGTGGCAGAAGTACGCGGAGACGGGTCGCGCTCCGCAGGAACATTTCGTGATGACGCATAGTAGTCTTCCGCTAAAGGCCTGGTTGACGACGGTCAGAGGTCCACAGCGGCACATCGAGATGATGACATCCGGTGGTGGCCGTGACCCGTCGGGGAAAACGGAAGCCGCGGGGTGAAATCTGCAGTTTCTGTGTCGAGGTCGACGGGACACCCTTGTCCATGTCGGTGCAATGACTGACTTTGTCTTCATCAGACATATTTGCGTTGAAAATCCCGCAAAGCTTCAATACCTCTTCAATGCAGGTTGTGCACGTTTTGCCGGGCAACTGAGTCCCACGTGACAGCGTTTGCTCAGTTTTCTTTTTTCATAAAACTCTTGTCCCAAAAGCAGGCCTTCAGTTCCTCAACAAATATATCTCAAGTGGTGAAGACGTGTTCATGGTTCTCAAACCAAAGCAAGGCAGTCCCGGCAAAGAAGAATACTACGCTCACGAGCTTCGCCGGCGCACCCCATTCGTAGTAGCGGCTCACTCTGTCGTAGTGTCTTAGCCAAGCATCCACGTCTTCATCAGTTTTACCTGAGAATATCCGTGGTTCAGGTGCCCAGTAGTCTGGTTGTCGAGGTCGACGGTCACCTTGTGCCATGTCGGTGGCACTGGTGGATGCAGCAGCGTAGTACGTCAACGGGATTGCTGTGTCGTCGTTCATGCTGATGTTGTCCGGGGGTAGGCCAGCTAAGCATCTGCTTCTTTGAAGAACTTCTGCTTCAAGGTCTAGGATGGCAAACTACCCAGCACCACTCCACCAAAGCTGTTACAGATGTGATGGGTTTATTTACACTGAAAATATCAGCGCTCAACCGTCACTGCCGAATTAGCATCGCTCGAGGGCATCCTACCTTTTCTTCTTTCTCGCTCTTTCAGTCCGCGTTACAATATCTATGTAACATGTGCATCTGTTCAAAACTTGGAGTCCATCTACGCTCGGCACAGTGGATTGCTAGATTGCTTCTATTTTTGTCTTCGAGATTATTTTTATGCTCTCGGAGCCAGTTGTTCATGCAGCGACCCGTTTGACCAACGTAGCGGCCACCACAAGACGACGGTATCTCGTGGACAGCTTCAGCCTTACATGTGACATATCTCTTAGCATGTGCCTGACTCGCCACCGCCGAAAGAATGCGTGAAGCTTCCAACTTCCCTTAATACCTCATCACGTCCCCAGCTGCAGTGACTGAAGTTGCTCGTTTTGGACAGTATAGTGAGATATATGGTGACGCGATGAGCGATATCGGCCCAGTTCTCGCAGAAACAATAATATTTGCTTGCTGCCCGACAAAGCGGCCAGCGCACGCCGCCTTAGCATACGACGCAGTTTCAACCGCTTCAGCACTACGACCCTCAAGCGTCTGGGCACGCACATGCTGCTACCAGCGTGCGACTGCCGATTTGGCCGCATCATGGCCAGATTGCGGATGCCACACATTTTAAGATTTGCCGTAAGTGTGAAACAAGCTATACATCTTTTCAGTGAAAATAAAAAAGCCCTCTTTTTTTTGCTGTTCTACCTATGGTTGCAAACCAAACGACTTGAAACTGTGGGAAGATACCGACCTCGCAGACTACAAGCCATCCGCCAACACCAGCACGAACATGCTCCGCAACAACCAAAATTACCAGCTACTCCTAAGGATCACTCCTTTGCACACTGGCTACCTCGCTAGAAGACTGGGAAGCTCTAAGGCAAGCCGTCAGCGTCTAGGAGAAGAGAAAGAAGTTGCACCTCAGCACCCCCCCGCGTTCGAGTCGAGCACAAGAGACGAAGACACCTGCAAGAGCGACAGCGTCTGTGGTGTTCCATTGCAGAGAAAGTATCAATAAAATATGCAGGAAGGCAACTGCCTCACGTCTTCCCACACATTCAGGTGCTAACAAATGTGCACTTACCATGCCTTCAAAGCCCACACGATAGAGATTCTTGGCCCCATTGTCCCACACCACGTAGGCGGCACTGCGAGGACTGGCTGCACTCCAGTCCTGGATCTCGGTGACCTTCCCCCGGCGGCCATTGCCACCGTCCTGATCCTCCCACTGCCAGTCCACACCTCGGACTACTCTCGCTCCGGGGAACATGCCACGGACTCCCATTTTCTTACTTTTACGACGGGGTTCCATGAGCGCCCTGCAAACAAATGCACCATGCAAATTAGAGTACAGTAAACCCCATTAATACATACCTGCCGGGGACGACGATAACTATGCACTAAACATACTACGCATTAACCACCAGCTACAAATTTCCACTTCCTGTCATGCGCCATCGCTGCCAACAAAGGAAGAAAAAGAAACTCTGTGCCGCTGGAAATATTGCCTGAAATGCCCACCTGCAAAGCCATTTCTTTCCTTCAGCCAAAAGTACAGAAAAGTTTCTGACTCTCGCACAACCACCTGATAGCACGAGGTGGCGACACCAATGAGCATTTTGAAACTGCCACAGTATCCGGGATACGCAGCATGGTACAGCGATAAAAAGGACACAATCGGCTGTTCGTGATTCGTAACAGTTGATCTGCGATCTGCTTCTAAGTGAAAACTGACGCAGTTTTCTTTTTTAAAACGCGGTACAGTCCCTGAGAGCCAAACCTTTTACTGTTTGGCTAGTTGCATGCAGCACTTCGCTCACTCTGTGCAAACCGCGACTGCAGACTTGCTTGCTGTTTACACCCTCTCCGCTTCAGACCATGCACAGATTCGGCGTGTAGCCCTGCTGGGTTAACACGGCGATGAAGAGCTTTCCCCAAGCAATGTGCTCTCTGCGATGCTCTAGCAGTCCTGGCAACTGGACAGAGGCGCATTTGGGCTGTCATTAAACAAAACCGTGCAGCATGGTAACAACAGCGCTGCGCTCGCTGTACGGTGTGCGTGTTGGCATAATACAGCAAGGTTTCTCGGATGCTCGCGATTCACAACGCTAAACTCCAGTGACAGCGAGCTGCTTGTGTTTCTGTAAAGTGGTGCGCGCTTGAATACAGTCCTGCAAAACGAAGCGGCAAGCGATCGGCGGCCCAGCGCGTTCAGGTAGTCGCCTACGTTTTTTCCATCCTTTAACACCCCATTTCCATTTACAAAGTATTGCACAGACTAAAAGAAACCTTATCTAGGCAAAAACTCCTGTCTTTCCTTTACGCTACTTCTCTCTGCTTCAGGCTGGCTAGATACTTTGCTAATGTGGTGTACAGAGTACCACAAAATCCCAAGCACGCAAACACTTGAACATCCATCGCCCCTTGACGTAACACGTGAAATTTCATTTCACACGACGATACCAATTGGTTCCGCAAGAACAGCAAATGCATGCATATTCAATTAGGCATTTCGTTAAAAGGACAGATGTTCATTCTTCTTAGAGGATTTTTCCATTGCCATTTTGAATATCCATCATTGATCTACTTTCAAGTGATGTCAGACTATCTTTTATAATAGGGGGTTGCTTGCTTGGAATTTTATGGTAGAACCTTTTAATATCTACCGCAACATTCTTCAAAGAGCGAATCGGTATTGCAAGTGCACCACAGGATGAACCAGTAGCTCACCGTTCACTACCCGGGTTGGTGATGCGGAAGAAGCGGTGTCGTAGTTGGTGCTTATCCCCGTGGTAGCACATAGAGCAGAGGTCGTAGTTGGAGCACTCGGCGCACTTCCACCGGATGCCGAAGATGGGCTGCTGGCGGCACGTGTCACACATGGTGCCTTCATGTTTGATACCTGAGGAGTAGAGCAACAACATGCTCACTTAAAGCAAAAGCACAATAAGAATGCCATATTTAATTCATCCACAGCAAGTAAAGATGAACAAAAAGCTTCTGTACGGAACACTACGCCTTTTCTGAAATGCATTGTATTCATTTTGGACCTAAATCAATTTATTCAAACATCAACTTTTCCTTCGAACCATTCACGAAGAGAGTGCTTCCCAAATGTTTATTCACCGAAACAAAATAAATGTAGGCAATGATTTACATGTGCCATTTATTATTGCTTCTATGGCAATGCAGAGTAGACTGTTGGAGAGGCCCATGTTGGGCCTCTCCAACAGTCTCCTTCTAACGTCCCGTGTACAGTTGAGCCCTTTATAAGGGACATGCACTGGGCAGCAATTCTTGTCTGTTATATGAGGTGCCTCTCTTAAGCAGGGTAGCGCATATGCATCTTTTTATCAATGCCTATTTCAATGTGGGCACACCGGTGTCTCATATATCCATTTGTTTCTTACATCTGTGTCTCTTATAAAAGGGTTCAACTGTATCCTCATTGGCTAAGCTATGAAGTGACTTTATACGTCCATAAATTAATTTGAAGAAACCTGACAAGAAGGTATGTGTAAAAGTCCTTGATGAGCCTCCCCATTATGCAAAAAAAATCTGTGTGCCTGCAGTGCTTAATTGTTTGAACGTATAGCCGTCCCCATGCTTTACAATATTGCTCCACGGTGTGACCCGGGCTAGCTTGACTAATGCCAGCCATGAAGTGTTCCGTGCTGTTGACAAGATATCTCAGCGTCAGTCAAACTAGTACAGGCTAGAGCGTTCGTGTAAAGCACGTCAACAAGCGTATATAGAACATAAATAATGAATCAGCCCAGGATCATCACATTTTGTTCGGCAACTTTACTTTCATTATATCTGTAATAAGAACAGAAAATGGAGGTGCATTTTCCATTTCTCGGCATTAACGCTACCGCTTCGTTTTCTCGTGCTTGGCTTGTTGCGGTGTGGTAAGGAATTTTAAACCTTACTAAGCGAAACTTTTACTTCCTTTAGATTCCAATGATTCACATACGTCTTCTATGTGTTTCTATCTCAGAAATGCCGCGAGTCGTCATAAAATGTTGAATCAGATCCTCCTAAGCCAACCAGGTATGAACAGGCATCGTAAACATTGCTAGTGCAAGGGCAGTGTCAGACCAGTTTCTCATTTGAAAGTTGTTTTCTTGGCATATCAACGTTCCATTTACGGCAAAATAGGCTTTTATTATACTAATGAGTGGTAATTTACAAACATAGATCAACTTTTTTTTATCGTGCCTCAAACACGTTTTGAAGATTATACTGCAAGACTATCTGCAAACTTCGCAAAGAATTTTGCCTCATGGGTACTAATCAATACTGATTACTAATAGGGCTCATGTGCACTTGATAGCCAGTGTTGACTAATACCCATAATGCTGGGCCTGTCATCAACCCTGTCAGGACATTCTTAGCAAGATCGTTCCTTTGCATGATTCCTCACACTGGCATCCTGATAAAGCAATAAATTGTTTCAAGCAGTCAATTTTTTCAAACCTAATCTACGATGTGTGTAGGTTGCGAAAAAAAAGAAGAAAGGGAAGTCGCAGATATTTTACCTTCAGTACTGCGGTAAAATGCCCCCTCCCTCACCCTATCCTGCATAATCATCTATGCTACAATGACTCCCTGAGTATGGAATTATATCTATCATCTTATAGCATTCAATTTCTTCTCTAGAAATGCTATATAAACATTGAAGCAATATGTCTAAGCTCACAGACTCAAAACTTATCACATTAGGCCAGTTGCCACGACTACACAAACTCGTTCACTACAGATATTGACCTTTAAAAGTTTGATGATATATCGCATTATGAAAGACACCTGAACTATCATTCACCACTAGATGCCTAAATTAATATTAGGATATAGACGTACATGTCGACCTAGTGTTACGCATTTTATTGACAATGCTGTTTTGCATCACTTTCCTCTCTTTAGGTTGCTCCTGCTAGTGCTTTTTGTTAACAGCCTTGCACATTCATAGTCAACAATGTGATCAAAATGAAGTAGCACATTCATCAGTCGGCCCCATAATTGAATGGACCAAGACAAAATACACGTAAGAAAACGCTCAGTACTAGTCATAGCATCAGCCAATTAACAAAATCAACTTTCGGGACAATGCTACAAGAGGGCTGGCACAACTCTCGCACCACGCTGAGCAACAGCGATTATACGGTCTCGACTACATCAAGTTCGTAGCAGTCTAGACCATCGAGTAGGTGAGGCACATCGGAGTTGTCAAAGCGTAGAAGGTTCCTAAACAAACAAACTGAGGAAACAAAGACGCGAAACTTTATCTACTCACTTACATGCGACGAGCTTTACGTAACACTGTCTCGCATGCCAAACAAGCGCACAGTGAAAGAACTGAGAACGGCTTCACGCAGTTGGCGACGGGACTGAATAAAAACACAGAATAAAACTAAAGGTAGCAATGCGATGACGAATGAATGAAAACTGCAGTTTTTCGCGGCTGACAGCTCATCTTTTTCGACTGACCGAAACGACTGAAAAGAATTTTGTCACATTCTTTTCAATAACTTCAGTGCATTGGTGTAAATATACAACCAAGATCCTCAGGAACTGATGCTGCACCTGGCTTTTGGGAGCCGTGGGGCTTCAACAATGGATACTGACAACAAAGTTGGTAGAAGCTTGGATGTTGGCAAAACCATTAAATACTTAAACGGCGCGCAAGCGTAACCAATTGTGATGCCTTGAACGCTTGTTCTGAGAATTTTGAGCTTCTCCATGATGTCCAACTTTGCTGACAAACAGTCAACAAGGCGCAAAAGACGCCGCTAAAGGCCCATGGCGAAACAACAACACAATTGTAGTAGTTTCCTTATCTTTCGTGGACCAACGAACGAAGTTGGGTAGCGCGCACGTGGAGACGGTTTTAGCTTAATGTGAGAACGACAAGGTGAGAATGCAGCGAATGTTTAAACGAGCTTCGGCGATCAAAACTGCGGAACACTAAAGTGGTTTCTTCAAGCGCGTCCCGTAAGAAGTTGAACACACACACACCTGTGGGTGCACTGTCAACGATGCGGAGATCGTACGTTCCGGAACAGCGGTAGTTAGCCGCTGTGCCGTTGTCCCAGACGACGACAACCTCTTCGGAAGACTCAAAATTACGCACGGTACCCAGATGTCCGTCGCCACCGTCCTGCTTGCCCCATTTCCAGTCGGGACCACGGATCACGCGCGATCCAACGCCTTCCATGACATTCGTCCGGCTCGTCCGCGATGGTCCGCACTGATCCATGCCTCTCAAAAATAGTAGGGCATGCTCCTCGTCCAAGGATAGCTACGACCCAGGGCGCACGGTACCAAGGTTCAGACTCGCCAGTTATAAACGGCGAACTGCAGTGTTTCCTTTCTGCCAGCCAACCGACGCCGACCGCGCAGGATTTTTTTTTCTCGCTGCTCTGAGCGTCGTTACAAGCGAGACATCAATATCGACGTCTCAAAACGACGTCAAAACGCGCATGCTCCGTGCGCAACAAAATATGGCGCGCGTTTCAATTTAAGGTTTTGCGTAGTGAGTTGTGAATTATCATTGGAAAGGTCGGTTAGATCCCTCAAACTGCCACTGACACATAAAGTTGGCAGCACGGGAAAGAGTGACATGTGGTGCTATCAGTGACCTCTACTAACATGAACCACTGCACATGCGCAGTTTCTTAGTGTCATCACTGACGGCGTGTTCACACTTCTGCCTCGAAAGAGGTCGCGATGTGACAAAGCACACCGGGAAATCCACTCGCTCGACTCTCAACTCCTCTGCGATGTGGCTTCCAATCTTGCTCTTGTAATACGGATGCCCTTATTACGATAGTGCGCGTTGTCTAACAGCATTGGATGATTCTTGATCGCACTGGTAAGCGTAACAGCCGACACTTTGGTCGCCAATTTAAATTTCACGACAGAATGCATACACTCGGCAGAGCGGTGGGCCGCCAACTGACCCGCAGGTCGCGTGATCAAATCCTGACTACGGCGGCTGCATTTCCTATGGAGGCCGAAACGCTGTAGGCCCGTGTGCTCAGATTTGCGGTGCGCGTTAAAGAACCCCAGGTGGTCGAAATTTCTGGAGCCCGTCCACTACAGGCGTTCCTCATGATCATATGGTGGTTTTAGGACGTTAAACCCCAGATATAAATCAAATTCAATCGAGTGGTCGGCCGCCTGAATTTCCTGGCCGCTTAGGCTGCGAAGTGGGTGGATTTCAGGTAAGTTTCCCCGCTTTCACATCCTTCGAGGCTAAGTGGACTGGAGAGCAGAAACAAAGCGCTCACTAGCAACCAAGTGACTTTTTTTTTTTTTTTCGTGTCGATACACACTGGATAACACCCAACGCGAAAGAAATAGGGACTGCTAAACGGCCTAGACACATGCTCGAGGCTACGGCAGATGCATATTGATGGGGGCCAAACCAAAGGACACCTGTGTACTTGGACTTCATCCGTCAGCCTGACAGGGGTGCAGGAAGAAATTTCTTTTTTTTTTTGGGGGGGGGGGGGGGGGAGGGGAGGGCACGAGCCTTCGTGTCCACCCCCTCGCTACGCCATTGCAGCCTGACTATGCTCACGGCAGCCAAAGGCCTCTGTGGGCATAGTCAGGCTGCAATGAATGAATTCATCAGGCTGCAATGAATGTTCCGCAGTATAACACGTTATACGGAAACTTAATCTTATTTGGTGCTTCTAACCATCCGCCTCCCGGCCCCTAGCGTGGTTTGCCTTCTCTTGGAATCCAGTCTGTTAATCTTAATGACCAGAGGTTATCCTACCTACGCATTACGTGCCCTGCCCATTTCTTCGTGATTTCAACTAGTAGTTGTCCATAACATGTTCCACGTAACCGATAAATTGTAATCAATTGGAATTTCCGAGAGGGAACTAAGGTTTCCTCGAAAGCCTTTGGTGCGCGCAAGTAGTTATATTATCTTTACTTTTCTGTTTCGTTTCTTTTCTTGCCTTTTTTTTCTTTGCCTTTTTCTGTGCCTTTGTTTTTTTTTTCCTTACTCATGTTTTGCTCTTTGTGCCATATGGTTTTTGTCACATGGTTACTGTCTCCTCTATATATTTTCGCGCTCTGCGCAATAAACTCAGTTGGTACTTAGCGCTCGTGTCATCGTGTCCTTCTTGTCTCTGTGTCATCGTTTTGTTCTGGTGCCGTCCTCTTTGTGGATATCGTGATCTTTTTCTTTTCTTGTATTCTACGCCTCCCACTTCGTGGCCAATATAGTGGGTTGAACCCTCCATCCAGTACTCGGGAAGCTGATCTTCAGCACTAGCTGGCGCCCAGGAGTGATGACTGAGGGCGGCCAGGACTGCGATGAGGTCGGGTCATTCCACACAACGTGACAAAAGAGGAGGAGCACTGCAGATTGAGCTAGATGGTGAGGATAGTAGCGCCTGTCTTGTGCGGTTCTCCTTTTTTTTCCTTCTACGTTTCTCGCGCTACGTACACCCACGATGAAAGAGTAGTAAAGTAGCTCGAGAATGGAAGGTTAAGACACTCGTGATTGGTCTGTCCTGAAAGGAGAGGGGGTACTACAAAATCTCGACAATTTTCGATTCGGCATGTGAATACATATGCATCGATACGAAACGCGCTCGCGAACCTCCGACATAGGCCCCTCCCCAATCCCAAAGCTACCGTATATGTCTGAGTTGCTGCCATATATGATATTTCGATTATATGTTACTGTATATGGCTTCCATAGCCGGTGTTACTGCATATGAGTTACTGTATATTCTTTCTTCGGGAGTCATATGCAATATACGATTTCTAAAAAAGCCTTATGCGCTATATATGGCTGCTGTTAGTTTGTATGGTTCATATATGGCTGCTGTTACTACATACAGCTGATATACTATGCATAAGTCGTAATTGGCTAAGACACGTTGCTGGGCTAGTTGGTTGGGGTTCACCGTTTATAAGGGCATAGCACACCACGACAAAGACACAAAAAGAGAGACGCACACACACATCGCCGTGTGTGTGTGCGTCTCCCTTTTTGTGTCTTTGTCGTAGTACGCTATACCTTTATAAATAAGTCGTAAGGAAGACCGACAAGGTAACTCAGTCATTTCCAGTTCATTAACTATGCGCTATCACAGGGCTAATTTATCAAGAGAGTTGATAACTGGACCATTTGGTTAAAATGCATGGTTTAACTGATACACCTGCACACACACGAAGACGAAAATGGGTGGCAACCCGCCAAGAGCTTATTCGGGACGAAAATATTTATTAAGCAAAGAAGCACATAATTACAACGGACTGATCTATGCATCCGTGAGAAGATAAAGGTTGTCGCAGGCATAACATTCGAAGTGTGAGTCCGTTGCGGCGATTAACTGTCAAGAAATCCTAACAAGAAAAACAAACTTCTTTTTACTTTTTTGCTTGACACACGCGCTCCGATCAGCTATTGGATTTATTTGCATGCTTCCTTCATCGTAGCCTCAGCCACCTTTCAGTTTTGTTGCAGGAGTTTGCTTTCGTTGACAGCATTTCTTGATGGTTTGTCACCACAGTCAATCCGCTCTTTTTATGTATTGCCTGCAAGAACCATTGTCTTGACACGGATGCGTCGGTCAATTCGTTGTATTAATTTTATATGTTTTCTTGCTCAATAAATCTTCTAGTTGTGGGAGAGCGCTTGTCCTGTCGTCCGTCCACTTTCGTCTTCGCATGTGAGCGCTTATAGGCCAGTTGAAACCATCAAATGACACCTGGTACGTCGTTTCACCCAATCATCGCCTGGACGCCGTCGTGAACAAAGCTCCGCTTTATCGAAGACGCAAAAAAAAATGCTCCCAAGGCGGCGCGAAATATCACTGTTAAGTGGACCGATGCGTCGGAAGCACTATGCAATATACGTCCAATGGATCACGTGCTTAGAATTTTCGCGTCTGGCTTTCTTGCCTGGGCAGGCGCGTAATGGTGGTGAAGCGGTTAAGTGATAGACGCGAAAATTGAGCATTCCGCTTTTCGCATATGCCATGATTGATTGATTGATTGATTGGATGATTGATTGATTGATTGATTGATTGATTGATTGATTGATTGATTGATTGATTGATTGATTGATTGATTGATTGATTGATTGATTGATTGATTGATTGAATAATTGATTGATTGATACGTAGGGTTTAACGTCACAAAACCACCATATGATTATAAGAGACGCCGTAGTGAAGGGCTCTGGAAATTTTGACCACCTGGGGTTGCTTAACGTGCACCAAATCTGAACACACGGACCCACAGCATTTTCGCCTCCATCGAAAATGCTGTGGGTCCGTGTGTTCAGATTTTCGATGTGTCCATCGAAAATGCAGCCACCGCAGCTGGGATTCATTCCCACGACCTGCGCACGCGCTATAATTACCCAGCCAGCATAGAGCTTCATCCTGACATTATATCCAATTACAAATTATTTCATTGACTGTTTTATTTGCTCTACACTGTTCCCGTTCCAATTACAAATTAATTAATTGACTGTTTTATTTGATCTATGCAGTTCCCGTGGCTCAGGAGACAAAGCCACTACACAGCGACATGCCGTTCTATTGCTAGAAGACTGGAAGCAAGCCTTTGCGGTACGTACATCATAAGTCCGGCACAATGAGCAGAAGCTCTGCGCTTTCTCTTATCAAGTTTTCTTAAAACGGTGACGGGTAATATTTTTCTCAGCGTGCTGGCGACATTCCGTGTGCTTCGCGCAATTAAACAGTCACAAGCGAAGTTGCTCTACGCTAGTAGAATATCACGTCACACGTATGCAGCCACACATTTTGTTGTTTCAGTCCATAAAAAAAATTCTATGATCGCGAAAGATTTCTCCTCAATGTGCAGGTGGCTCCCGATTTAAGGAACTTAATTTCGAAGGTCTTATGAGCCGAAACCGTGAATATTGTTAGGAGGCGTATCGTAGTCTTAAACTTCGGCTGATGCTCGACAACCGTGGGGGTTCGCTATACGGGCGCTTCTGCAGTTTGCATATAACGAGATCCGGCTGCCTTGGCCGCGAATAGAACCGACTTGTGCGCTGCCTGTGATGTACACGGCACTCTGACGTGCTCAGGTGGCTTGCCTTGATTTACTAGAATTAACATATCTAAATATTATAATGAAGAAAGCGCAAATAGTTTTCGCGGTATTTTGGAGCGAAAGTAATCGTCATCGTCATTTTATTTTATTTACTTTATTCGTTCTACTCCTCTGGTCACATGACCTGCTTCACGGCTACTACTACTACTGCTACTGTTACCACAACTACTACTAATACTATTAATACGACAACAACTTGTATTACAACTACTATTACTAGACTAGTAATGCTTGTACTACTACTACTATATACTACCACCACTTCTACTACTGCTGCTGCTGCTGC